AATTAAATTTTCATACGAGTATCGTAAAACCTCGAGTAATTATGGTATATACGTTTCCCAAAATTAATCTGCTCGGATGTGTTTATCTAAATGGAGGATTCGGATTACAAGAGAACGCTTTCCGTTGAAATCTCAGACCGTTATGAACAGCAGTCGGTGTAACAATTTCGTAACAGATAACGTAATCCTACGTACTTTACACAGAACGTAAGTCGTTCCATAAGTAGAGGCTAGAAGTTTTCGACGCAGTGTTACGTTTCTCCTTACACGTAATACTTAAAGAGGTGAGCTTCTGGAACAAAGGACGTTCTACGCGCGAATGGCTAAACACGTCGCCATTCTCTTAAAGTCCTTCCTATTTCTTTCTTTTCAGCACTTGCCTGCTGGTCGTGTGAATGCTGGCTAAGCGGAACTGTTATTAAGAAAACTGTTCTGCTTTAAAATATACGTAGCTCCAATTTATTTAACTATTGTCGCTATTAAGTTTAACTTATACGAAGATGGTGAAATCGTGGATAGCCAATGATCATAGTTTCGAATTTATCACGGAAAAACAGAAGACCAGGTATTTTTAATATTCCTATCTTTAACACTAATTATTCTGAACGAAACCGATTTTATCATTAGTAGTATTATTACTATCATTATTATTATGCACTTTAGATAACCTAAAATTCTTGCTAGAAATTTATGACAGGAAAATAAAGAATAAAATATTCCTAGTATTTCTAACTTTATGATCGGTAATTATCGTGAATGGAATAGAGGTATAGTGGTTAACTAAAATTGCCTACATTTTTATCATTTCTCATAATAAGATCATAGTGTAGAGGGTTGAAAATAACTATAATCAGCCAGTACTAAATATTCACTCTGTAATAAAGATGTTAATTCATTTACTTGGACTATTTAATTGGAGTTTGATTATCATGCCATGAATTTATTTATAATTCATTTATGTGGTATATCAACTTAAAATTATTTAAATATAAGGACTCAATATTCAATTGTCTCGTACAGTCACAGTATAGTGTGGTACTTGTATGTCAAAATTCACCAAGAAGGGATATCTTCATATATTTTCCATAGAAGCAGAAATAGAAATTATAATTTTAGATCAAAGAAACGTAGATATCTGTGAGACAGGTATAGCATGCGAGGCATCTGTTGGGTTAGCAGTAACAGTTTCTCTTGTAGATGTAGAACATAGATTACAGAACGAGATAAGTGTCCTAGCTTTATAGCCTTGGTGGTCAGGGGGAAGTGAAACTGGGATATCGTGGAAATCGTTACATTTGCTAATTTATTCGGAAATTGTTATAACTCGAATTTATCTCCAAGTAACTTCCATCTTGCCAGAAAATTCTGCGTATACGTTATGTTTGAAACTGCAGGTAATATTCTAAATTACTTAAATAATTTAAAAGATAAGATGATTTCAAAAGGTACCTAAATAAGGTACCTAGAGTAATTTCATAGTTGCATAAGTGAATTAGAAAATAACACTTATAGCGAACCGTCTGATCAATTTTGGTCTGTATTACTTACACATCCTTCATACGCGAGTACGTACTATGCGTGGCTGAAAAGAAATCATCTGAGAAACATGTAGGATCAAATTCCTACTAACCCAACAATTATAACATCACGGCAGAAGCAGAGTAAAGCGCTTCCCATATTGGCAGAACTGATCCCATCCTATTAGCCCGGTCATAGAACACTATGTGAGAAAGAAAACGAACAAAGCAACGACACAAAGGGAGACAGGTAACATTTCCGTCGCACATTTTTGTCATCAATTGTGCCCAAGCAAATTCCATAGGGTTGTGGTCATATATGGAGGCAGTCTCATTACAGTGTGACTATGTATTTCCAAAAGTTCGTCAATTTTAAACGCCTCCTCCAATTTTTATACCGCACTAAATGTTCTGATAGTTCCGGGTTCCTCATTGATTCAACATGGGGTATATTGTTTTCTATTAATCACGCTATAACAATTTTATTCACTTGTACGCTGTAGTATGGGATTTATTCACCTGTATACTGTGGTATGGGGCATTATCCGGTATGGTAGGCGGCAAAATAATAGGTAGTAATTTATCCCCAATCCATTTTTCGAAATTATATAGGGTTTATTCACTTGTACACTGTGGTATGGGGCATTACCCGGTATGGTAGCTGGCAAAATGTGAGGTAGTAATTTTTACCTAATACGTTTTTCGAATTTATATGGGGTTCATTCACTTGTACACTGTGGTATAGGGTTTATTCACTTGTACACTGTGGTATGGGGTTTATTCACTTGTGCACTGTGGTATGGAGCATTATCCGGTATGGTAGGTGGCAAAATGTTAGGTAGTAATTTTTACCTAATCCATTTTTCGAATTTATATGGGGTTCATTCACTTGTACACTGTGGTATAGGGTTTATTCACTTGTACACTGTGGTATGGGGTTTATTCACTTGTGCACTGTGGTATGGAGCATTATCCGGTATGGTAGGTGGCAAAATGTTAGGTAGTAATTTTTACCTAATCCATTTTTCGAATTTATATGGGGTTCATTCACTTGTACACTGTGGTATAGGGTTTATTCACTTGTACACTGTGGTATGGGGTTTATTCACTTGTGCACTGTGGTATGGAGCATTATCCGGTATGGTAGGTGGCAAAATGTTAGGTAGTAATTTTTACCTAATCCATTTTTCGAATTTATATGGGGTTCATTCACTTGTACACTGTGGTATAGGGTTTATTCACTTGTACACTGTGGTATGGGGTTTATTCACTTGTGCACTGTGGTATGGAGCATTATCCGGTATGGTAGGTGGCAAAATGTTAGGTAGTAATTTTTACCTAATCCATTTTTCGAATTTATATGGGGTTCATTCACTTGTACACTGTGGTATAGGGTTTATTCACTTCTACACTGTGGTATGGGGTTTATTCACTTGTACACTGTGGTATAGAGCATTATCCGGTATGGTAGGTGGCAAAATGTTAGGTAGTAATTTTTACCTAATCCATTTTTTGAATTTACATGGGGTTCATTCACTTGTACACTGTGGTATAGGGTTTATTCACTTGTACACTGTGGTATGGGGTTTATTCACTTGTGCACTGTGGTATGGAGAATTATCCGGTATGGTAGGTGGCAAAATGTTAGGTAGTAATTTTTACCCAATTCATTTTTCGAATTTACATGGGGTTCATTCACTTGTACACTGTGGTATAGGGTTTATTCACTTATACACTGTGGTATGGGGTTTATTCACTTGCGCACTATGGTATGGGGAATTATCTGGTATGGTAGGTGGCAAAATGTTAGGTAGTACTTTTTACCTAAACCATTTTTCGAAATTATTTGCATTCATTTCACTATGATACTCAAATGTCGTTGACTTCGATTAAAAAGTAAGAACTGTCTCATTCGCAAATCCACTTTTCCCTCCTACGTGAACTACTATTAAACGATGTGAAGCACTTGGATTTTTTAAAACACCTAGTGTGTCTTCCAAAACACACAATTTTCCAAAACACGCAATTTTCCAAAACACGTGGATGTGTTTTATCCGGGGATGATAACAATTCTTCTCCCGATGTAGAGGCATCCTTTCTAATTCTGCAAATTGTTTTTTACGGATATCTGACCGTATATCTTAACGTATCACGTTACCGAACTTGGAAGTAGTAGTTTTGGGAGTGTCATAGAAGATTGGTGACTATTACTACCGAGAGTGTAGGTGGAGCTAGTGGAATACCCCTCTTGTCCTTCAACCGAGCGAGATATGACTTCTTTTGAGCCACGCACAGTCGTTCACAAAAGTATTGGAACAAACTAGATTACAGGTTCCTACTCTTCGATTCTTTGCACTGTGATCTAATTACAAATAAGTTTACATTGCAAAATTGTTGAATTTTAATTAACCACTATATACCTATTATGAGTTATAGTAACGTGGGTTATTTTCAGCTTGAGTTACTGCAGACTGTTGCTTCGCGTGCCATACTTGAGTGCTCGGTGCGAATGATAAAATATCAAAAGACACCACACAGTCGCTAACTTAATTATTCCAATAAGTCCCTCTCGGAAACGTTTCTGCTCCGACACGTGTATCTAGCTTCCAATAACCAAGTCCTCGCGAGTGCTTAACGTTTGGCAGGGAAATTAATCGTGCTGCGTAATCCGTTGCAGCACTATGCACGATTGTCCCGCGAGTATAAATACCGATTAAGAAGATAGCAGGAACGAAGGATTGCGGGGTTTCGAGTGCGCCCGTATCAGTTTCGCGAGGAATAGAAAACAGAGCTTAACCGGTCGGGATGCAAGTCGGGGAAGTAATCTCGCGTAATCAAACCCTTGTTCGACGTCGTGGCTTAACTTGAAATCGGTATCAACCGATCCCAGGTGTTCAATTGGCACCGCGCCAGGATTTAAGCTTGGCTTAAATTTCGCGCAATGGCCGCGGAACTGGGGCAGATTCAGATTAGAATTAACTAATTGTTGCGTACAGCGCTGTAATTAGCCCCCGGTTACCCGCGTACTAACGTTTAATTAAAATCCTACGACGATGCATCCGTTCGCGAAGACACGATGACAGACTACAGCGTGACCTGTTTGTGCAAAAATCCGGAAATATACGCAGCAGTTTTACGTTTTACGCGAATGCGAAATTCGTTTCATTGGACTCTGAGAGACCTCGATCTCTCGTTTATTTATCGATATTCGCTATTTCCTTTTTATGGTGAGATTTCTTTGTAACAAGAGTATATCTATTAATAAGAAAATTAGTGGATACTCGCGTCTACAGTAAGGTAATAATAAGAAGTAACTAAGCAGAAGAGTCTTGGAGTGAACACTTGCTGCTGTAGTGCCTATTCTATCTTTTCTTTTCCGTCTACAGGCTTTTCGACTGTAGGTTCGGTGTGAAATTATCAAGACGATTGTCACGCAAGATCGAAGAACGAGTAAGACCCGGTGAAAAGAGAGGTGGGACTCACCGATCACATCCAAGTATACGATGTGACTTATGTGCGGCGTCGTGGAGATCTGGCACTCGTAGCAACCACTGTCTCGAAGCTGCGCATACTTGATTTCAAGCGTCCAATCCTCGCTTTGCTCGACGTGGATCGGCTTGAATCGCTGGTCGTTCGTGTAGGTGTACTGGCCGATGGTGAGCAGATGGACATCTCTGTGCCGGATCCAGGAAACCTGCAACGTCATCTGTAAAGTAGAAAAACGTGTCTTCAGTCGATCGAATAATTTTTCGCTGTTATTCTATTATTTGATCGACTTCCGAAACATCTGACAATAATTTGCGAATTTGCAAGGAAATTTGCATCTTATTGCTTTCTTGTGTACCAATATCGACTGTGTACCATTTATGCTTTTCATTTTTAAAGAGATGGTAATTAATTGAATTAGCTTCTAATCAGATAACGGTACAATCGAATTGGCAAGAAGGTAATTAATATGTAAATAAATTTATATTTGAACTGTTAGTTCACAATATAGTATTATGATTGGGGATGTCGAATTAATATCTAATGTGTGCTTCAATATGGTATATAGGTAATTATGATTGAAGGAATACATTAAAAATATTTAGGTATCTGTTTAGATTGAAATTACTGATACGTGTACGATAAATAAAAACGGAACGTCTAAGATCCGGCATTTTGATTCGTTTAGTAGTGTTCATTTTTAAGAGGTGCAGGTTCTACTGTCATAAGTCCAATCATTTTCGTCACAGACAGTTAAATATATTATACACAAATGACAATAATTCAACGTTATTAATTGTCATCACAGTTAATATGTCAATGGCCGTCATTAAGAGCCATTGACGAGATGTATCTGATTTTCCATGGCTCAACAAGAATATTTCTAAAATAGCTAACTACTGCGCACAATACCCAATAAAGTGGTTGATTCCCAATAATTCTAATTCTGGAATCATTTACCCAATTAATTTTCATCAACTACCATTAACTATAATTAAAGTCACTTAATACTCGTGACTCTGCTAATAAAGAAATTTAACTTCGCTTTCAATTTTAATCATTAATTAACAACACTTCCATATTTTGCATCGAGCATGTATACAAAAAGTAGTAAGGAATACACAAATGAATAGCTATTTTAAAGAATAGGACATCAGAAGACTGTGATCGAACAAAGTTGTCTAAACCATAAAAATTTAATTCCAAAAAATCAATCGTAGCATCCAACGGGATGCGAATATAGTCATAGATTGATAAGTAAATTCTTCACCCTCTAGCGCCGTACTTTCTGAATTAACCACGGAAGTGGAAGAGAAAATAAGCAGCACAGAAGGGAGGAACGCGGTAGCATGGTGGAACCTACATGGTTTCGCGCAGCACGGGGACCTAGTATAGTCTGCGAAATTCGCAGGCCAAATCTTTTGTCCCTCGTTAAGGGTTTCCCATTAAGCGGGACCACGTAATTAGAAGTAGCTCGTGTGTTGCGCTGGCAATTAGCGAAACGTGGCACGACATTTAGCCTGGTATGCGTGATCCCGTCTCGACTGAGGTTTCGAGTTTCGCGCCTTTCTCTCGCCCTAGTTAGTCACGTCTCCTCAAGGGCGCGCCACGCTACTTTTTCGGCAATTCGACGAGCGCTCGGCTCTCTTAGCTTGAATTTGCCCATTCATCTGCTCGTCTAGGCGTGCGGGTAGTTTTAGAGTATTAACTCTTGGGAGTCCCCAAATTTTTAATTTCCATCAACCGGTAACTTCAACGTGAAATTAAAAAATAAATAAATTTATATAGTAACACGCGTTGTTGAATCTAAGTCACAATTGTCTCGTTCGATCGGCCATCGTGGCCAGGGATCCAGGTGAAATTTAATATACCCTTAGCTATTTATGCTAACAGCGAGTCTCGAATTTCGAGCGAATCCGTCCGGGCTTTGGCAGCTGTCGGCGTGCCGCTTGTAACCCGCCATTAAAAATTAATGGGAACGCGTTCCATAATGCAAGAGATTTGAATTTTCATTCGCGGGCCGCCTGGGCCCCGTTGCAAATTTCAAGGATGTGTACAGACGTTCCCGGTGTTTCCGTTGCCTCGCGTTCCCGACGTAGTGGAAAATTAATAGAGCCGCTTTGCATATCGTCGGAAAGTTAGTGCGCGGAGATAAAACGCCCCGGGACGCGATAATTGGACATCCCGAGTCAGCGACGTGTAAATATTTGCTCCCTTTGTAACAGCTGACACGCATATCCTGTGGAAAATGTCTCGCCGCTTGCGGCCGCCTGTCTGCCAGAAAACGCGCGAGAAAATTAGGGGGAACAGACAATCCTCTTTGCACCACCCCCCTACCCCCCGTATTTCTCCTTTCGGTATTCGAGCCGAGGGAAAAGTATTTTCGTTGCGCGAGATTTACAAATCCTATTAGATTAGCCGAAGAGCTGATAAACTACACGGCTGAGCACCTATCTGACGCTTGGGACGGATGAAAGTGGGTAACGAGATTAGAGTTAGAGCTAGAAGGCATTTTCCACTTCTCTTTACTTTCCTCTTTTTTTTCCTCCTCGTGAGAGGATTGGATGATGGGGTTAGATTCGATGGGATTCTTAGGATGACTATCGTAGTCATGGTGGGACTTGCGGGTAGCGTTCTGTATGAAATACGTATCATACGTTGAAATCAAGTGTCTGATACGATATGGTGGATGCAATACGCAGAAAATCTCTAGATTACATCGGTAAATTTAGAAAATACTTCAACCATATGTAAGATATTTAGAATAGGTTTATCAGAGATACGAGCAGTGGTGGCGCTAGTGTGTTAAGTGACAAGTGGTATTAAGGCTGTCGTAAGCGACAAAAGGTGAATCAATATTTGAACTTATGCAATGCACTGCATCGTTAATTAACTCCATTTTATTATACCTACAACATTCATCGCCAAGTATCGCGGTTTTTAAAATACAATTTTCTTCGAATAAGAAAGTTGAAAATTGAAGAATTGAAATGACTAACTCGATATTATATTTATAAACTACGTTCCATAAGAGCATCGCGTATGACATTTATGGTTTCAAAAGTGAACGATTACTTATGGTAAAAGTAAAATAAACAACGAACAGAAAACAGCGCAACGTTTGAGTAAATATTGACCACAAACAAGGATGCAAGAGTAAAAGACAAACAATTATCCAATTATATCACGGCGGAATTCCACCACATTTTTATATAATTTACGCGCTTTATGCCACAATGTTTATTTCGTGTTATGAAACAATTTTGACATAACCTTGGAATAATATGGCAGGAATAAATAGCAGAAATCCCTGTCAAAGCGAACAATGGATTTATTACATGAAAACCATGACGCGATAAAATTCGACCATATCTCCACCTCTTTTCGTTCTGTTTTTATTCCATAGCTTTTAATGGCCCCCGCAGCGATGGTTGTGAATCGGACGGATATTTGCGTCCAGAAGGAAAGAATCGGGGTATGCAACATGGCCGCTAGAAAATGGCGGCGCGAGGGAATATGGAATTTTCTCAAATCCGCTTGTCCACTACGATTTTATTATCGCCGTTGGCGAAATTCAGATAACAAGAGTCGATTGGTATACGTCATTTTGCGAAGCTGATCTTTAGAATCGTTACTCGATACTCAGTTAACCTGCCGCTTGATTACATTCCATATTGGCCAGTAATTCTCGACGAAAGAAAGAACGTAAACGCTTTAATGGAATAAATGCACCGATACCATAGTGTTAAAATAAATACTTCAATCTCGTTAGTAGGTAAATATCGTTCTGCAATCAATTTTATCAACAAACAGGCGAATCGCTATTGACGAGCACACTACGCGAGCATAAAGCGCTATGTATCACGAAATATCGTGAAAAAGGAAAACATGTAAAGAGACCGTAGCAAATGGCATGGATCGATGGTATCATAAATATTGAAAGAATTATTTAAAACGTTCAAGCGAAATTATGGGTCAATTTGTTTAAGCTGTTTGTTCCTAATGTTTATTCATATGCAATATCAATGAAACATTTTTAGCCGATTTTTATTTATTCTATAATTATTGGATAACTGCTTCTCCTTTAGTAATCGTACATTATAAATATATCAGGCAATGTAATTACTATACTCTAACTTGTCAGAAGGATGCCCGAACACTAGAACTTCACTGCAGTTATAATTAAAATCATAATCTCCCTATCAAAAATGTAAAACGTGTGACCATACCTCTCTCGTATTTAAAAGGCGATTTCTAAAAGAGTGTTCAACTCCTACAACCCATTTTATTGTACTATACTATACTGTTTATTAACTAAGAGTCTATGATCAAAGTCCACAAATCTCCAAGGAATATTTAAAATATACACATACAGTTGTCAGAACTGACAGACGATTTCATGGAAACGTCTACCGCCCTTCACAATACTCGATGTGTTGGAAATATATCACTGCTTTTAGAACTAAACCGAGTGTGTTTCTCGATACTAATCTCGACCGACATTCCGAGGTGTCACGTTATGTAGAGAGAATTCCCAGGAATCTTCGCAACGCTCGAATCTGCTGGCAACACTGTAACGGTCATTATGTCACTCGAGAAGTATCGGGACTTCCCCCAATTTCACGCCGTCATTCCAAAGTTGACGCAAGGTCGGACAAGAACGACCGCTTTAGTTGTCGACAGGAATCGTTAAAGGACGTGTATCCGCCAACGAGGCAGCGATCGTGCACAGGGATTCGAATCGCTAACCACGATCCTTATCACGTCCCCTTCGAAATTTTTCCGCGCAACTTTCTCCGCGATGAACAAACGCGAATCGTCGTCGCCGAAATTCGAGCCGCGTCGTTCTCGGAGAAGACGTTTGCCAAGCGATATCCGAGAAGATAAGGTTACCCCTAGGGAGGATGGTCAACAGATAGCGGGTTGCATAAAAGGAGACCCCTTCGAGGAAGCCGTAAGTGGAAGCGATGGAGATTACGAAGCAGCGACGGATCCGTGGCTGCCTCTAAAGAAAGGTACCAAGATTCATTTACTTTTCTTTCTCATATTCTTGTTTTTCCCTTTTGGTGGTATATTCGGTGGTGTGTAAATTAGACAGCTGAGTGTTTTCTTGAAAGTAGAAGAATTAGATCAATTGTAGTGATAATTAATATTCATTCCATTCATCCTGGCTTATTTTGACATGTACATTCATTTACAGAGGAACATCGCATTTATTGG